ATACCTTGAAATAAAAGATATGTCCATTCACCTTTTCCCTTAAATAGCATCAAAGTACTCTATATCATTATAGTATTTTGGCACTTGTGTATAAAGTTAAAATCATAAATAATACTCAACGTTAAACTGGTACACAATTAAAAACATTTTATTTAGCCCTATCTATGGCCTTCAAAAAGTTGACCACTCTACATGTTTCAATGTTGAATATTATTTATGATTTTAACTTTATACACAAGTGCCAAAATACTATAATGATATAGAGTACTTTGATGTTATTTAAGGGAAAAGTGAATGGACATATCTTTTATTTCAAGGTATTGTGCAAATAATTCTTGTGTTTATTTCTTCATAACATTCAAAACTATATAAATAATTCATATATAATAGCTTTTAACTCAACATGAGGTTGAGACTCTTTTAAACCTTGTAGATTTGAGAACTTAAATGGACTGTACCTACCTGTAGAATGAAAAGAGGGTGACCTTTGATTTCTTTACTGAGGCCTCAGTATAAGAGCTGAAACATCATCCCCCCTTTTAATTCAAGAACCAGTTCAAGTCCAGTTAAGTTCTCAAACCTGCTATGACTACTCTGCATAAAGTTCTACAGAAACAACTTATCTAAAATCTATATGCCAAAAATAGACTAAAACTCTGATGCAATATTTGCTATATCTCTGTTTATACTAAATTTCATATACATCACTTCTCATCTATCCAGCCAAATGTTTGGGAGAGATTTTTCATGAGATAGAAATACTTACTGGACTTATCTAATTCAAGGAAATGGGATGCATCCAGCATTTAACTTTCCACATTAAAGGAGTTTTATTAGTAGATGATGTAATGTTTGGATATAATATTCTGTTACATAACTCATGTGAAATTTACTTTAATTCATTTTTTTTAAATTTTACAATGACATTAGTTCTATTTTGGAAAATAAAACATAATATTTGTAAAAAACTGTATATAGACATTAAAATCTTAGTTGGATTTAATTCGTATGAAAACATTTGAATAAATCACAATATTGTGTTAATCACTTCTATCAGTTCAGTATTTTATTTTATCTTATATTACAATCTGATAATTTTGTTTTCTTTGCTATAGAATGGGACAGATGAAGGTATTTTCAAAGAAGGTTTTAGTTTGTCAAACAAAACCTCATATTACTCACCTTGGACCTCAGCTGATATTTTTTGTTACACCTCCAGAGCAACAGCACTGAGTGGATCATCAACTTCCACCACAGACGCAGAGAAGTATATGCAAGAAACTGGCAGGTATTTGCAAAGTTCTATTTATTGTCTCTGAATTAAAGTTGAAATGAGTAAAATATTTAACTTATTCATTTATTATACCAATTATTGGGTATAATTCTTGTAATGATTAACATAGGAATTTGGATATACAGAATTAGGATAAAACACTAACAGTTCTTAATTCTAAAATTTAGCATGAAGTTTAATGTTGCCTTGCACAAACATTTCAACACCTCTTGAAAAAATGAACATTATTTTTGGCTGATTATATAAATTCATCTTATATTTTGCAGCACACAAACAGTTGTTATGAATGTGAATGAGTATATTAAAAGGTGAAAAATAGTTATCACTGATGTTTCTGAAGATTGTTGTTTATCCATCCATAATAAATACAATTATTAGAGAAAATTGCACATGTCTAAAAAAAGATTTTTAGAAATTTTAAAATATTGGTTTCATTGGGATGCCATCTGCTCCTGAAAAACAAAGACCATTATAAAAAAAAAGATATTTTGATGTTTATTGAAAGAAAAGATCCTCATTGCAAAATTCTGTTGCAAATGCAGTATCATTACATAGTTACGTCAACAATAAACTGTATCTTCAATGAATATATACTAGGAAATAATAACAATCATATGCCCAAATTTACTCCACATTATACTTCTAGAAATAAGATGAAATGTACTGCTGCTTTTAAACAAGTAAAACATATTGTTACTCTGAATGAATTATGGACTTATTTAAATGTTTTGATAAAATTTGAGAGAGATAGAGTTAAAGCATATATAGTTAACCACAGAAACTTTGATCATCTGTTACTACATGTCTGACATTGATGTCCGAGCAATTAACATTTCATCAGTTCTCAGTCTCTGAAAACTCGGTACTCAATAGCCTTACTTTTTGATGCTCTGTAATGAACCAAAATGTATCGGCATGTTTATTTAAGAATACTAATGCACAGTCTTTAATAATAAATTTTTAAATGGCTTAGCTTAAGTTGAAGAAAGTATTTTAAAAATGTCATAAAAGCCACATCATTTCTTTAGTGTTTTCCAGGATTCATTAGTACACCAACTGATCCATCATGCCGAGCAATTAACATGAAACATTCATATGAATACTCATAAACTTGCATCATTTTTATTATCAGTTTTTGTAAATCCTTAATACAGAGGAATGTATTGATATTTGTTTGGGCTTAATAATTATTAATAACCTTATGAAGCAAATGAAATAGGATAACTTTTTTTTTTTTTTCTGGATAAAGACTGGTTTGTTATGTTAGCTGTCAACTGTACTTTGTGCAGCCTTACACTTCCGTTGAAAAAGTGGTAAACATATCTTTCAGAAGCACCAACTTAGTACAAACAAGCACAGAATTTATATCAAATATATGATGTTTGTGGGGACTGATGCCTGCATTGTTGGTTTGTTTGACTCTTACGTTATGATTCAAGATGGATAGTGATACCAATACTACATGCAGCATGTTGAACATTAATTACAAAGACATAATCAACTGTTTGCAAGTGTGGGACATATGTATAGTGGAAAGGAGGATCCCGGAATTTGAGTATTTCCTAGTAGAAATCTATAAGGAAGTCAACACATTCTTCTGCAATGGTAAAATACAACACTTGCATCCTGTGACTAAGTTATGATGGATGTTTGAGTTAATCCTTGAGTTTCTACCACAGCGATAAGGTACAGCATTGTGCCATATAAGGTATTTTCTGCCCAACTCCCAGTATCACTTCCTGTCCATTTGTGACAATGTTCTTTTTCAAGTAGGGCAGGCATATCGTAGTGGTTAGATGATCAAAAAGTGTAAAGTTTACATCATGGTGGCACTAAACATGTTCACAGTTTTAGCTATTGGTGCATTATGACAGTGATAGTTAATCCTCTTATTTGGTGCAAAGTGGGTGGTGCTACTGGCTGCTTTTCAACTAGTCAGTAGTTCTAAATTAAGGGTAGCTACACTTGAACCCTAGGTTAGGTGTCTTTGACCTGGCCATTCAGCCCATATCACCAATCCTTTTCAGGTTCCAAGATGCTTAATGAATATAAATAGTCCTTGAATTTGTCATTTCAAACATAGTCAGATATTTTTTCTGAAAGTTAGATTGACAGTAACCATCAAATGGGAACCTGTCCTTTTATTGTTTTGCTGAAAGATGCATTGAAGATTGATATAGATTAAAATCACACTTATTTTACTATTGGTGACAAAATTGTAAATTTTATGGAAGGGATCTCAAATGGAAAACTTCAGATGTGGACAGTTGTTGTGTGAAGATTAACTCTTTCAACCCGGGGTCGATCCTTGGGACATACCTCGTAACCATTTTATGCTTGTTATAGTTTTCATGCTATAACTTTTAAATTAGTAATTGAATGTTAACAAAATATGGTAGTTTATCAGTAAACATTACAATGCTTTCATATGCAAAATATCTAATTTTTTTATCCAGTCTTAAAGTTTTTAAAGCAATGTTTCTCTCATACCTTGTTTTTTTTTCACATCTTTTCTATCTATCATTGAAAGTAATTTATTTTCATCTTTACATTAAAAATATTTTTATGCATCAGAATATTTTATAATGTCCAAATAGTTATCAAATGTTTCTTAAGAAAAAACTTTATATTTTATCTGTTATTTTCAGTAATTGATCTCTGTACATTATCTTTATAAGGTCCAAATAGTTATCAAACATTTCTTAAGAAAAAACTTCATATTTTATTTGTTATTTTCAGTAATTAATCTCTGTACGGGTTCGGTAAATTTGACCGGTCTCGCAACTACCATAAAAAATTAGGAAATAAACATAAATTATGCCTCTTTCATTCTAGAATGAACACATTATAACACAAAAACATAATTTTTTTTTTACATTGACCTTTCACCCATGTTTGGCTAACAATTCAGAAGTTACAACAATGCAGCTCATGTACACTCATGTTACCGTATCAAATAACATAAAGGTGACCTTTGGTCTGTACAAAGTAAATTGTCTTGGCTGTGTTTTAGTCGACTAGTATTTTGTAAAATACAGTCACATTTCAATTATATACATTATATATGTATATAGATTATTGCTATTTAGAAATAAGTTCTTATTTA